AAACGTAAGTATAAATTTTTGATATTTTTTAGTGCGGGGCAAAATAGTTCGGGTGGTTACCATTCGAAACCTTAAGTAAAATGACAGTTATTAATCTAACTTTTAGTTACTGATTGCTCACGTGGGAACGTGGTGGGAAGTGAACCACCTTGATTGCTGGGTTTCAGGTTGACGTGATTCCCCATCATGTTAGGCATGACACGCTCTGACCCGTTCACTTTGAGTCCTAGGTTTCGCGCCCTAACATGCAACATAAAAAATACACCTGTACACACTCAAAAAGGGGAAAAAGAAGGGTGAGTAATGAATTACTTAGTGAAAAAGACGGCCACACCAACACACAGTGTTTCATAATACAATAATATTTTTTAACATTAAACGCATATACTAAGCTAAGATATGGCATAAGAAACATTCAACCTAGAATGCCTAACACAAGCAACCTAACCATTCTAACACGTCACTTAACTTAACAATTGACTTTCACCATATTCTACATTTTACAATACAATATATATTCACGTACATGCTAGCCAATCACCCCATACGGTCAGGTCGTACTGCTACCTTGACCCGCCAGCCAGTTTAGGAGCTGTAGTGGGCTCGCCTTGTCCACACTCGTAGACCCCCAATAAATTCTGCAATAGGATCGCAATATCCACATCCGCAGAGACTTACACACACCGTCGCGCTATAATATAATACTTACCGTTGAGCTGTAGTGGGCTCGCGATGTCCACATCCACAGTCCAACCTTACTTAACACTTCACACATGCTTAGCCATTCAACACATCAAATTATACTTATGCTTACTTATACCTTTAATCTCATGATCAAACAAACTACTATGCATTGTGAATATACAAGTCCAAACTCCTCACCTTAGCCCCAAAGCTACCAGCTTTAAAATTGGCAACAGTCCTTGCTCGACTGGATGTCTAATCTCCAACTCCAATTATCCTTTGACACCAGCTCATCTTATGAGTCCATAAGGTTCTTGCAATTTCCAGGTCATTCCGAGCTCGTTGGTCCAATCAACAAATGCAACTCAATATATTTCATCATCAAACAAAACTACACTTACTATACTTCGAAAGTAGTGAGTAAATAACAAATTAACCGTTCACTTAAGAATCCGACCATTGATTCTGAATTTAATAAGGTCTTGATAAAGTTCACAAAGTTATTGTTCAATCAGAATTCATATGAACCCTGAAACAGAACATCAAAGTGACGGCATCGAAACTCTCTTTGGACTGGCAACTTAATTCTGCTGATTCGTGTGTACCAAGCCAAGCTCACCACGTTCAAGCAACAAATCCAATAGTGACGATTAAAACTTCTTTGGAGTCTATGACATGTGCTCTGTCAGAAGAGCTCAACAGAATGACCATCCATGCTCTGACGTAAGCTGAACTGTTCTCTAAAAACTACACCTTGAAACAGGAAACTTATTACTATATTTAGAAAATATTCCGGGTTCAGAAATTGTGTTTTTACATCGACTCCGAGATTGATTTCCGAATAAAAATTACCTCGGATTTCAGATCGGAAAAGTGCTCCATAGAGTGGAAAACAAGATCTTTCCAGAGGTATAAAAAACGTTGACTAACTCTTCCAGAGCTGACCAGAAAAAACTCTCCAAAACATCATGTCGGATCTATTTCCTTCCTTCATCTTCTTCCTGAAAGTGAGGTTTCTGGAGCATGAGAATACACGCTACTGGAACACATGCAGAGCTATTCCAACACATGGAGAAAAGTAAAATTGGCTCTTATTAAATTAGAAAGCCTAATAATGATAGAGGTTAAAACTCCACATGAAATGAAACGTGAGGGTTTCGTGGTGGTAGTATAAAAGGTAAGAGGCGTTGACAAAAAGAGTGACGAGCCTAGGATTCCTTTGTGAGATGCACACCTGTGTGTGCGGCGTCGTCCCACCAGCTGATGGTGGTTGTCTATGAAGATTGCAGCCGTTGAGAAAACGGTGTTGCACCGGTGCTGTTGGTTGGTAGTCAAGCATGCGTGCTTGTTACCTATCTTCATAGTTTGTCCATGCAGAAAAGAGTGGTGGTATGCCGTATAGCAATTGTAGGTTGCAGCTTTTTTTAATGGATTCATTCTGGATTAGGTCTCGGGGAAGTAGGAAAATCGAATCTCGTGAAAAAACTCTATGTGTTCTTTATTTTATGCTTATACATACTCGTTTCAAACACAAACAAGCTGCGTTTTCAATTCCTCATTTCCTATTTCTTCTTCGATCTGTCTCTTCTCGCCTCCGACCTTCTCCTCCTGTCCTCCACCACCGGCGACGCCTTCGTCTCCCTCACCCAACCGAACCTTCCTTTCTTCCTTTTCAACTCATGCAGTCATAGACCCTCATCATTGCGTAGCCGCTCCCCTATAGTTTTTTTCTGCCACGCTTCCTTTCTTTGATATTTTCAAACGACGAAAGAAGAAAGAAAATAATCCTCTTTATATTTGCTTGCAGAATTTTTCTTTAATTATTTACTAGAGGATATCCCGGATTACGCCCGGGTTTTTGATAATTTTTTTGGTAAAT